TCGGAAGTAAATATTAAATATTATTTAACGTAAATAGAAACGGGTAAACAAAGTAGGAAATTGGTTTGCCTTTTGACAGAAAATGATGGTTTGAACGGAAGGGATCCTAACTCAAATGTAACTGAAAACTTGACTTGACAGGAAGCTAACTAGATGCACTTAAAATCTAGAGCAAGTTATCAATTGCATTCTTTTCCAAATGATAAGATTTCTTGACCCTTTTTCAGAAGCTTGAATTGTTTCATGTTGACTTCGAAATAAAACTCCTTACACACCAAAACCAAACTCTAATCAAAAAAGCAGTTGAAATTAGTCCTTTCTCAGCAAGGCAAATCAGGGCGCAAATAGATTCTCCTTTTTCAGCTCGCTTGACTGATTAAAGCCTTCAATTGTTTCTTTAAATTTTGCTATTTGATTACTTTTTGCAGAAATTTCAGAGACCGCATAGCCGATTGCAATTTACAGAATTTGTGTTTTAGCCTCTCAGCGCAAAATTGAAATAGCTGACCGGGCGTATTTTGAACCTAAGGTTGGTGGAAATATAGACAAATTCCAAGCCGGGTTAAAATTAACATGACTTATTTTAACAGCTGCACGGAAACGTGGAAAATGAAAAGTAAGTATACACAAGTGGTGTATTCTGGTTACAGTGACATTGTCCTAACGATGTGCCTAAAATACTTTGTTTTTAAACATGCTTAGCCTACTGGTTCAATAATAAATGTACCAAATTTGGAATATATCGAACGCCAAATTGTCCCGGTTCGATGTGGGAACGAAATTTCACTCTCAATCAACTATTATAAAATTCTCGAATTTGATTGGAGAGCAGCAAGCCCGATTTGAGTATAAAAACAGTTTACCGCGCGCTGGAGAACAGTCCGGTTGCAATCAGATGGCCTCGGATGGGTTCATTTTCTCATGCGTCTCAAATGTTTTCCCAAGTTTCGTTCACCAAAATGAAAATGAAACTTCTTGTCGCTCTGCCTTTTTAGTATTAGTTCACGATTATTGCTAGCAGGACTTGGTGTCGTCTAATTCTATTTGTTATTATTCTGATAAATTAAATCAACGCAAGCTACACGCTTTTGCGTCGCCCAGTTAATCACTCGTACTATATACAGCAGAATGAATTGGTCTATACTCAGTTCTGTTCTCCAAACAAAATAAAAAATAAAAGATCTCTTGCGCAGAATCTCTCTACGTTTCATAAAAAAATCAATTAATCTTCAGCAAGGGGGCGAAGCAAACGTTTAATGAGAAGGACATGAAATACACTTAAAGCAAGCCAGCGGCTGGGAGCTGTAAAGAGAGTTTGTTCCCATGCTAAGGCCATGCACATTTTCTTGGTGAATTTCATGGACATTCTCTGAATCGAAATGTCTGAACTCTGTGTATTTGGGAGAAGTGAATCGTTACGTGTGAAGATCGTAGACAAGCTAAAGGTAGGGAGGGTCAGGAGAAAGTGGTTCATCCCATATAATGAAGACAAACCGCACGAGAAAATCGGGGCGGTTTGTGGTACTGGGTCGACGATTTCTATTGGTTAAAGACCTTCTAACACCAATCAATGTCCGCGCATGCGCAATATAGTGACACAGACCTTTATTTGTATACATACGGCGGCGCGAAGATATAAAATTTATTTTCCAGTGGTAACAATATTTTGCAAAAGAGCGCATCGAGTGAGAAAAATATTATTTTTAACACGAGAAAATAAAATTCATATCCTGAAGCCATCGCGTCAGTCTTCTTTTTACTGTATGGACAGACTAACTATTTGAACCAACAACAGTGGAAAACGGGAAATGATGCGTCATCAATATCCTCACTAATAAGGGTATGGAAAATGCGCCCCGCGGGCCCCAGATGTAGTTTCGTATGAACTTTGCGAGTCGTGTATTTTCCAGTACAACACCCGTGTCTATATACTAAATGTGAGTATTCTGGAATTTTCTACAATTATTGACAGATGCATACCGGCTGTGAGTAATATTTCAAAATTCCAGGTAAACTTCACTAGCCTTCATTTTGAAATGTTGCATTGGAACAATGGATGGTGATTGTGAAAAGCGCCCAAACTCGGGTGACTTTTATCAGAGTTAGAGTCGCTCGAAGGACTTTATGCCAAAAATATAGTGGATACTATAAACCGTGAATCCCGATTTATTGTCAATTATTCATAAATTACAGTAGACAGCTACAAACAGCTCTAAAATCACAAGTCTAGTCTGTTGTCGTTTCCTGCGTTTGTAGCAATGTTGGCGTCTTTTTCTACCATCTATCTATCCTTGAAATCCTGGAATAAGGAAAAGATGTGACTCAGTTTAAACGAGGTGAGGAAAGAAAGCATCTACACACACAGTGATACCCCGCCTAAGGACCACAAAGCCACGTTGTTGTAGTCTGAAGAAAACACTTAGTCAGTCATTTTAGTATCATTTAACCTGACTTGACTACCACCTCTAATTCATGGCCTGAAGGCAGTCGACGTCTCATTATATAAGATAATTTGGTCTTTTCACGCAGTCGTTTTACAAAGGACGGCAAAGAAATGTACCAAAAATTATAACGCATGTGGGCAGCGTGCACAGGGTTCCGTTTCCGTTGGCGGTTTGGTTTTCTTTAACTCCGTAATAAAAGTGCGTGGTACAACGGACGAATACGAAAGGTCGTATCGAAACATAATTCAACAAGAAAACATATGCAAACAACGCGCGTGCGTTATTTGAACTCAATTGAGTGACGTTGATAGTCTACACATATTTGTCGATATGATTTAAATATAGTACACTTCTCTGATTTTAGTCACACAAAACACAAAATGACGTCCACAATTCTCCGAAACGTTCAAAGCACCTCATTTTACTATAGGGCCAGCTTCAACCTGAAATTCTCACACGCCAATAAGCTTGGAAATCAGAGAAAAAAACTCAAAAGTTTTAAACGTTCATGGTATCGTACAGTCAAACCTTTCTACAACGGCCACCCTGGAGGGAGGGTTTACTGGCCATTGTGGACAGGTGGCCATTTTTGTAAGATTAAAATAAGGGCCTGAAGAGGGAGTTTAAACAAACCAAGACGACGACGGCAACGAGAACGTTACCAAACAAAAGGTTTAATGAGCAAAACAGTGCCAGTGCACGTGCGTTATAAATGTTCGTACATTTCTTTGCCGTTCTCTGCAAAACAAGAACGTGAACAATTTCTGCGAAGTTTGAGGAACGCGAACGACGACGGCTAATTTTTCCTATTACCATTTGAAATTGAACAAAGTCATTGTTTATTTAACCTGAGCACGGTTTTAGAGTCGTTGGCGTACTGAGCAGAACTAGACGAATGCGAATTTTGCTGATAAAAAAAAAAAAAAAAAAATCATTTTTTATTAGGCGTCGTCCTCGGCGTCGCCGTCGTCGTTGCTCAAGCTCCCTAATCTCTTGACTGCGACGAAAATACAGTGGCCGTTAGTAGACGTTCGTGGTAGTTTCTCACATCACAATTCTGAAATTCCGTAAACTTGATGTATAAATCAATTTCCTCAGCTCGTTAAGTTTCATCTTTGAGACCTTGAAAGAAACTCTTTTGAGTGCACAGTATTTGAAAGCTAACACTTTAGGTGATAAAGCTTATGCCAAAAATGCTGAAAAATGGTCATTTCAGAGACATTTGGTAGAAATTCTTGCCAGTTTTCTTTATTTTGCACAAGTATAACTAAGTGTCTCTCTCATATCTCTTGTTAACTTACTTTTTAGTCACGTGATGTTTATTGCTCCTTGCTATCATGCTCTTTGTCGTCAATCTGTTCATCTGGTGATATCACGTCACGCTTGCGAAATGGGAAACCAGGAAAGTTCGGAGGAAAGTTTGGCGACGCCTGGGTTGTGGTCCACTGGATCGTGAAGGAGTCTGGCGGATGCGTTGCTGTGCAGAATTCAGGTCAATAACAGAATTATGCAGTGTTTTAATTAATAAATGTAATTATCAAAAATTCAGATAACTCAAACTGTAACTACCCAGATATGTATGTTATTGATTTAAAGAGGGGTCCGTATCGGTCCCAGACATACTGGTCGAGTTCTTGAAAAATGACAAGGTCACCAGTATTTACGAATACGGATCGAACAAGCCAGTTCAGTAAAGTATTGATAAATGTTTAGGATAAACAAAACAAAATAAACTTCTCTCCCCGCTTGATGCGCGAAACTTAAATGGATATAAAGTAATTCAAAAGAGAAAGAAAGGAAGGAAGCAAAATATCAAAGGTATTCTTTGTTTTTTCAACAAAGTATCTGCTATATAGTAGTATCCACTATACACTCGATCTTAAAACGATCAAATGCGCGTTTCTCGATCTTTCACAGTCTCTTAGTTACCCGTTAGCACACTTGATATCTCGGCCTTAAGTACGCGCAGCTGTTCCCTGGTCCCATGGGCAGTTTTTATCTGAGCCGCAATGGGATAAAAAATGGGCCTGGGTGGCGGAAACGAGAATCATTTTGATCAGTACCTCAACTGTACAAATTTGTCTTCTTAATCTCTTAAATGGAATTTTTACTGATAATGGCTATTTCAGCGAAATGTTTGTTTGTGATGGTTTTTATGAGCGTTCCACCTACTTTAATTTTGTAAGAATGGAAAAAGTATACTTGCCTTTTGGTAACCTTCACCATCCCCTTTCGTTTTAAAATGTTGGTTAATTTAAGTTTAAAAGTAATAATACATTTTCTTAATTCACAAGTCATGGGTCTCGCAGACCCAATTGCTATATTTCCCTACTTACTTGGAGTGCATTGGGGGCAGCACTGTCCAGGAATGTTAACAGTGACGCCCGGGCATGGTGCACACCAGGTAAGATGACAATTAACATCTTCACCATTGCAAGAACACTCGTAGCAGTCGCCAGAACTCAAACGTTTAATCCAAGGATTGGCATTATTCGAGCAGGTTTCTAAAATGAGAAGAAAGAAACAAGAGAAAAAATTGCCACAAAAATGAAACCTGATATGACTTCAGTTTTTTCTCCTCTGACTCAATGCAGTGAGGAGACCAACAGATGGGATTCCGTAGCTGTTTCATCCTCATATAGTTAAACACCCACCCGAGGCTACGATCCTTTGGGAGGCGCGGTGGCCTCATGGTTAGTGTGCTCGTCTCCGGATCGAGCGGTCCGGGTTCGAGCCCTGGC